ATTCTGTGCCTCAGTTTCCCCCCAGTACCTGGCAGCCCCTGCAGCAGGACCTGGACGGCACCGCGGTAGCAGCTCAGGGCTCCAGCCACGTCTCCAGCCGCCTCCCGGGCCAAGGCCCCGTGGACCTGAGCCGTGGCCTGGGCCACATACCCCCCCCCAGGCACCCCCGGCCCCGGGTCCAGCTCCCACAGGGCCTCGGCTGCTGCCTCGGCCTCTTCCTCTGCACCTGGGGGGGGGCAACGCGGGGTTAAACCTGGCAGGGACCCCCCCGCAAGCCCCCAACCAGCACCCCTGGATCCGGCCCAGATGGGGGCCCTCTCTGCTTCCCCAGCACCCCCTGCTGGTGCTCCAGGATCGGGACCTACCGGCAGCCAAGACAGGGTCGAAGAGGGCCAGGTCGTGGGGGGGCAAGGCCCCGGGGGGGGGCGACCCCCCGTCCTCGTCTTCAAGGGCCCCCCCAGCGAAGAGGGCGTCCAAGTCGGCGTCTCCCTGCTGCTCCCGGATGCCGAGGTCCCCCCCTGTGGGGGGGAGGGGGTGCTGGGAGGGGGGCAGGGCACCCCGCTCCCTGCCCCCAGCTCTGCTCCAGGGAGCACCAGGCCTCAGTTTCCCCACTTGTATGGGGGCAGGGCTGGAGGGGGTGGGATGGATTATGGTAATGCTCCTAATAATGAGCATTCAAAAATGGGGGGGCTGCAAGAGGGTTATCATAATGCTGTTAATAACAAGCATGAAAAATGGGGGTGGGGGTCCTCTACAATGTGACTGTAATGCTGCTAATAATGGGCATGCAAAAATACAGTATTTTCAAACCCTATTTTTGTTAATTCTAGGCAGGCGACAACGGGGCAGGAGCTGCAGGAAAGCTACCACCATGCTGCTAATAAAAGGCATGTGAAAATGACACCCAGCTCTTAACTGAGGGGGTCTCTATGGGGGAGCTGTAATGCTCCTAATAGTGAGCACACAGAAATGTGGCCCAGATCTCAGCTGTTGCAGGGTGGGAGGATGAGGGAGGATTAAAGATAAGGTAATGCTGCTAAGGTGGGTCAACACTGGGCAGGGGCCGCAGGAGATACCGTAATGCTGCTAAAAACGAGCATGAAAAAATAGGGCCCAGATCTCAACTGAGGGGGGGGGGGGGAAGGTGGCATCTGGGTAGGTCTACCGTAATGCTCCTAATAACAGATATGAACAAATAGAGCCCAGATCTCAGCCAGGCAGATTGCGGGGTGGGAACTGAAGGTACCGCAATGCTGCTAAGAGTGGGCCAGCTAATACGGGGCTGTAGGGGGTGCCATGATGCTAATAACGGGCATCTATAAAGAGGCCCTGAATTCAGCGGTGTCAGGAGGAGCTGTAGGGAGTTACCGTAATACCACTAATAACGCACCTAATAATATGGAGCACAGGCCCACATCAGGGGTGAGACGATTAAATGACGCCACTAAAAACTGGCGTGCTATAAAGGCACTGTGGGGGCAGGACTCAGCTGCTCTGCGCCAGGCTGTAACAGCTCGGCTTTGTTCTCTGCCCACACGCACCCTCCCAGCTCCATGTCACAGGGCCCCACGCCACAGCACCACGTGCTGAGCTGGAGGGAGCCAGGGGAGTCCTGTATAGAGAGCCAGGCTGGAAACCTGCTCACAGCCCCCCTGGAGCTGGAGGGAACCCAGGTGTCCCAGGTCCCAGCCCCCTACCTGTGTCCTCTCCCTCTAGCCTGTAGCTCTCGGCTCCCAACGTCTCCTCCGCTCCGGGGCTCTGTGGTTCCAGCTGCTCTGTGGCTGCCTGGGTCTCATCCAGACCCCCCGGAGGCATTGGGATGAGCGGGGGTGGCAGCGAGGGCAGGCTGCAGGCATCCAGGGGTCTCCTCACTTCCCCGCCCTGGAGGGGGGATGAGCAGGGTGAAGGGGAGGGAACCCAGGCTCCAAGCCCAACCTGCTTTCACCCCCGCCCCAGCCCCACTCCCCTCCCCTCCCCAAGCTGGAGAGAACCGCGGTGTCCGGGCCCCTACCCGGAAGAACTCCTTGAGCTGGGGGCTGTTGGTGAGCGCAGGGATGGGGACAGTGAAGCGCAGCATTGTCTCAGCCGCCTGGCGCCGCTCCTCAATCACCTCGGGCTCAAACCGGCCTGAGGGAGGTTGGAGGGGGGCATCAGCTGGGGGGGAGGGCTCCTGGCCACTGCCCCCACCCAGTCTGACCTGGGCTCTGGGTAGGCATGGGGCAGAGGCCTGTCCCCTGTGCAAGAGGTCCCAATCCAGGCCGGATCCTGGGGCAGGGGGCACGGGCAGCCCCACTCCCCGCCCAGAGCCAGAGAGAACCCAGGTGTCCCGCTCGGGCGAGACCAGCAGTGCCCCCTGCTCCCCGGACACGTGGGTCTCTCCCCATCCCAGACATCTGGGTCCCTTCCCGTCCCACCCCGGACACCCGGGGCCCTTACCAAAGACCTGGGCCTTGGGGAAGGCGGGGAAGTCCTCGAGGCGCCGGAAGAGGTGGCGGTGGGTGTAGGCGAGGTCCCCATGCAGCTTGCGCAGGTCGCTGTAGCGCTTCCACACGACCACCTGCGCCCGGGCGGTGTCAGGGCCACAGCACCCCACAGCCCCGACCCCGCAGCCATAGCCGGGACCTGGCACCCCCCAGGCTGTGGGCTGTCTGAGCACACTCGCGCCCCTCCCCGTGCCAAAGCACACACGTGCAATAGGCACAGGCACACTTTCACATGCGTGTGCACACAAATGTACACCCCCCCCCTCCTCCCCACGGGCACACGAGCAGATATGCACACACACGTACGGACACAGTCATGCCCTTGTGCACACGTCCATGCACACGCATATGACTGCACGCACATGCGTTCACGCACACACATGGGGATGCTCTTGCATGCACCTGTGTACACACACATCTATGTGTGCACACATCTTCACGTGTATAACAGACACACAGACGTGTCCACCCGTGTATGCACGCACGCAGAACGGACATGGATGCGTGTACGTATGGGCACACGTATGCTTATGCAAAGACACAGGCGGATCCATTCCCCAGCACCCGCTTCACCAAGCACCCTCTCCACTACAGGCTGCTACCTGGGCACACACACATCTATGTGTGCACACATCTTCACGTGTATAACAGACACACAGACGTGTCCACCCGTGTATGCACGCACGCAGAACGGACATGGATGCGTGTACGTATGGGCACACGTATGCTTATGCAAAGACACAGGCGGATCCATTCCCCAGCACCCGCTTCACCAAGCACCCTCTCCACTACAGGCTGCTACCTGGGCCCCCTCCCCTGCGCCCCCTGGCCCCCTCCCATGTCCCCGTCCCCCCTCGCGTCACCTCCTTGATGTCCTCGGGGTTCGTCTTGGACACAAACTGGGGGCAGAGGAAGAGACGGGGGCTTAGCAGGGGGCGCATGACACGGACCCCCAGACAGAGACACCCATGGAAATGGGGGCAGAGTGTAGTTCAGGGGGCCAGGGGCGGGGCCAGGGGCGGGGCCATGGCTACAGAGGTGGGGGCAGGGCTATGGTAGGGGCGTGGTTTGGTGCGGCAGGGGGCGTGGCCACGTGGGACACTCCCTGCCCCTGGGGGGGACGGACTCCCGAGGGGTGGCAGGGCTGCCTTCTTAAAGGGGCCACGTGCCCCGGCTCAACCTCCTCCTCCCCACACCCCCCCCCGCAGCCTCCTTAAAGGGACATTTGTGCAATAGCCCCCCAACCCGCTTCTTAAAGGGTCCTTTGTACACTTGCCCCCCGCCCCCCAGCCCCCTTCTTAAAGGGACCGCTGTGCAACTGCCCCCAACCCAACTCCCCGCTACGCTCCATTTAAAGAGGCCGCACGCCGCCTCCCCGGGGCTTTTGCCCCTCACCTTGGCCGTCACTTTATACTCGGTGTAGCCCTTGGGGTTGGTCCTCGGCTCCGTCACGGTATAATCCCGCTGGTACTCGTCCTTCGCCTGCCGAGCCATCGCCGCCTTTCCTTTTAGGGGGCTGCGGCCCCTTTAAATCCCGACCCTCTCCCCAGCTCCCCCCCTCCCCTGCCGCGGGCAGCCGCGAGGGAGCGGGGCCGCCACTGCGCATGCGCCCGACTGGGAGGGGAGCGGCGACGGCCTTGCGGCCACTGCGCACGCGTGGACGGACCCGCCCCGTCCTAGGGGCCGTCTGCCAAGTGCGAAGCCTAAAGCGAGCCGCAGAGCCTAGGGCTCCTCTCTCAAGTGCTTCCCCGATGGAGGAAAGGGAAAGGGGGCAGGTGAGAGGTAGTAGGGGCAGGGTCTGCAGGGCAGGGGCAAGGAGCCCGGTAATCTAGGGAGACCCCAGGCCCCCTGGTGCCCTACCCCTCCCCAAAAGCCTGAGAGGTGGGTTGCAGCCCCCTCTGGGGTGGAACAGACAGAGCCATGCCCCTCCAGCAGTGAAATGCAGCCTGTTCTGGGGTGGGATGTGAACAGGAGTATTGTATGTGAACCAGGTCCCATGTGTAGCTGCTTCTGGGGCAAGGCATGAACGCCACTCTGGGTTCTTCACCCGAGACTGGGGTTGGGATGCAGCCACCTGTGGGGTGGAGCAGACAGGGACCCCTCAACCAGCAACAAAACACAGCTGGTTCTGGGGTGGCGCACAGACATGGCTAGAACACACAAACCCTGTGCTAGGATGTGGCTGCTTTTGGGGCAGGAGCCTCCTAAGACAGAGGTTGGGATGCCGCTGCTTCTGGGGTGGGACTGTGGCTTCACAGCTCACTGCAATGAGGCGCATAGGACAGGAAGGAGAGGCAGAGCTGGGCCTGGAGGGGGCAGGCCAGTGATTTTATTAGTATGACACAGGCAAGACTTAACACAACGGTTGAGGGGGGGGCCAGTACCTCTCCCTCTTTCCGAGCCCCCTCATTCAAGGAATCCAGGGCCCCCCTCACCCCAGCCTCCCTTCTCGAGGCCCTATCCCAAGCCCCCGCCCCCAGAGGCGATGCAGGGTCCTATCCAGGCGAACCCAGGGGTCTGATGGAGGGTGCAATCCGAGTCCAAAGGAGAAGCAGTGACGTGGGTGACAGGGAAGGGAGACAGGCCTGCCCTCCACACCCCCAAGGAGGGACCCCGTCAGGGCCAGGCTCAGTCCGCGGTGAAGATGCGACTGGAGATGTCGTCCAGGAGCCAGTCGATGCCCACGAGAAGGTTCTGCCCTGTGACCGCGCTGCAGGCCTGGATGCACCAGTGGTGGCTCTTGATACTGTCCAGTTCCAGAGCCTGGTAGATGGGGGAAGAAGGAGAAGGCTGAGAGCCCAGGCATCCCGGCCCCCAGTGCCCCCTGCTCCAAGCCCCTGGGCCTCAGAGCTGGGGAGAACCCAAGCATTTGGGCTCCCACACCCCCTGCTCTAACCCCTCAGCTCCCACTCCTGTCCTAGAGCACGAGAGAACACAGGAGTCCGGGGCTCCCAGTCCCTGCTAGTCTAATCCCCACCAGGCCCCACTCCCCTTCCATAACTAGAGACAACCCAGGCATTCAGGCTCCCAGCCTTCACTCTCCTCCCAGACCCAAGGAGAACCCAGGTGTCCGGGTCCCAGCCCCTGTGATTCTTACCTCGCGGATGGCGTTGGAGTTCAGCGCCCCCGGCAGGTCCTGTTTGTTGGCAAAGATGAGCAGGGTGGCCCCTGACAAGCGCTGGGGGGGGTGGGATTAGAAGAGGGTCAGCAACCTGAGCTAGATGTGTCCTCCTCCACCCCAGCTCCCTACCCCCTCTTGCAAACAGGGTGCTGATTTCCAGCCAATAGTCACCCCAGAATCCTCACTTTCTTGGACATTTGGTATGATCCAAGCCCCTCCCAACCCCTACTTGGTAGAACCCCCTCCACCCACACTTGGTACAATCCTGTAGACACTTGGGTCAACCCAGGACACCTAGCAAGGCACTCCCCCTCCATGATAGTTGGTACAGACCACCAGTCCCCACTGAACACTGCCCCCAGCCAAAGCTTGGTACAGCCCTGAAGCCCCCTGAAGATATATGGTGCAGCCCACAGACCCTGCAAAGCATCCCCCCCCAAACCAAAGCTTGGTACAGCCCACCCTGTAACATTGCTTATAATCTCCCCATACCCAGCTGCATGTCTTCCCCCACCCCACTTAGTGTATCCCGCCCCATGACACCTACAGCCCCTGAGGACACTTGGTACATCCTTCTACCCCCCAATACTTGGTTCAGTCCATCCCTATCTGGTATAGCCCTCCCATGTCCAACAGTATGGTGCCCCCTACACCACTTGGTACAATCCTGCAGCCCCTGACACAGCCCCCAGCCCCCACCAATACTTGGAACAGTCCATCCCCATAACATTGGCTATAGGCTTGCCATGGCCACCTACCTCCAGCCGCCTGCCCCAACTCAAGAGCACCCCCTTCCCCTCCTCTCCGCCCCTACCCCAGCCTTGGGTACACACCTACCTCTTCCACCAGGAGGTTCTGGAGCTCCTGCTTGCAGAGGGCCAGGCGGTGCCGGTCCGCACTGTCCACCACCCAGATAAGCCCATCTGTGCTCTCAAAGTAGTTGCGCCAATAGGAGCGCAGAGAGCTCTGTCCCCCCACATCCCAGATGTTCAGCTTGAACCTGGGTGGGGGGAGGAAGAGGAGACACAGGCAGCGTTAGGAGGAGATCCCGGCATGCTATCGTTCCCCCCTCCCACTCCAGCCCCCTTGGTACAACCCTACAGCCTCCTGAAAAGGCTTGTTACAGCCCATAACCCCCTCCCTAATACTTGGCACAGTCCATCCCCATAACAGCTGCTGTAGTTGCCCCATTGCCAACTGCATCCCCCCCCTGCACTTGGTACAACCTTGCAGTACCATGAGAGTATTTGGTGCAACCCATCCCCCCATACTTGGTACAGTCCAACCCTATAACAGCAGCTATACTCCCCCCATGCCCAGCTATATGTCCCCATAACCCAGGCCACTTGGTACAACCCTGCAGCCCCTTGAAGATGCTTGGTAGAGCCCACTAAGGGGAGGGGGGGTCAGGCTATGCCTGTACCTCGGAGGGAGAAGGGTAGCGGGCTGTACCAAGAGGGTGCCAGGCTCTACCAGTACAAGTGAGGGAGGGGCCCTGGATTGTACCAAGAGGGCTTAAGGAGAAAAAGCTGGGCTGTACCAAGGAGGTGTGGGGGGGGTGAGGAAAGGGTGTCAGACTGTACCAACCCAAGCAAGGGGTTGGCACCTGGCTGTACCAACCAGGAAAAGGGAGGGGGGTTACAATCTCACCCTCTGTGCTCCAGGGTCTTGATGTTGAAGCCTAGGGTGGGTGAGATGGTGTCAATGTCCTCCCCATTGAACTTCTTCAGGATGGTGGTTTTCCCAGCATTATCCAAACCACTGGGGGGTGCAGGGGGTCAAGGAAGCAACCACTCAGCACATGGAGATGGGGGGAGGGGCAGGGGTCACAGCAGGTTTGGCCTGGTGCAGGCCCTCCACCCTGCCTCTGGCAGACGGCACTAGGTACAGGCCCTCTGCCTGTATGAACACTGGGTACATCCACCCCCCAGCTACAACTGGACCCTCCGCACACCCCCTTCTCTCCTAGGCAGCTGGTACAGTCCACCCCATGCGCACAGGAGCCTCCAAAACATGCGGGTATGGGGTGAGCTACACAAGATGCCCTCCTCCAGACACGTGGTACAACCCACCCCATCACAGTGTCCACCTCCAACACTTGGTACAGCCCACCCAATAGTCCTAGCACCTGCCTCCTTTCCCAGACACTTGGTACAGCCCACTCAGTCCACCCCTAGAGAATTGGTACAGCTAATCCCACAAGCAGAGCATTTCCCCCCCTTCTGAGCCATTTGGTACACCCTTTCCAGCCCACCTTTCCCCCCCTAGATTTTTGCTCACCTGCCCCAGCCCATGCCCTCCCCCCCCACACACACTTGGTACAGACCACCCCATGCCACCTGTGCACCTCACTTCCTCCAAGCCATTTGGTACAGACCACTTCCTCCCCCCCAAAAAAAATACCCTACTCCTTCTGATCTCGTACATCCCACCCTGTGCTTCTCTCCTCCCTCTGACACTTGGTACAACCCATCCCTTCCCCCTGACACTTGGTACACCCCCTATCCCCCACACTTAGCAGAGCACCCTCCTCCTTCAGACACTTGGTACAGCCCACCCCTCATGGTACACATGGTACAACCCACCCCTCTTCCCCCAAAACACTCGGTACAGCCCAACCCCTCCTCCTCCAGAGACTTGGCACAGTCCACCCCTTTACTCAAACACTTGGTTCTGCCCACCCCTCCTCCAGACACTTGGTACAGCCCCTTCCTCCTCGCCCCCCAACCAAACACTTGGTACAGTCCACCCCATACCCCCAGCCGCCGCCGCCGCCGCTCCCCCCCGGAGCACTTGGCCCAGCCCAGCCCGGCCCGGCCCCCGAAAGATACAGCATCAGAATCCGCAGCTCCCGCTCCTTCTGCCGCATCTTCTTGAGAATGGTCAGCAGCCCCATCGCCACTGGCCCTGCACCTCCTCTGCCTCGCCCGGCCCCTATTGGCCCGCCAAGCCGCCCGTCAGGGAACTGCACCTTCCCATTGGCTGCGCTCGCCGGCTACCACACCCCGTCCTCCCGGAAATCATAGAAGCGAGGATACCCGGCCGCCTAGAGGGGCCGAAGGCGCAGCGGGGGAGCCTGCGCCGCAGCGCCACCTAGCGCGAGGTGGGTGCGAAGCATAGCGACACCTGCCGGCTAGAAGGCCGCTCGCTGGGGCGTGCATAGCGCCACCTAAGGGGAGGAATTACGGGGGCGGGTGGTCCTCAAGCGGGATTTACAGGCCCTATAATGATGCAACACCATTGGTTGCATGCATCAATGACATCACCAGGAGCTGGTGTGAGATAAGAGCACGGATGACTGTACTGTCACTCCACGGACACCTTCACTCCCAGCCGTAGGGGACCTGGCCCCCATCCGCCACCCCCACAGGGACCCCCAGGCAGGGCAAGGTCAGGACCCGTCTGCCCCATCTCCTGCACTGGGGGGGTCCCAAGCTGTCCGATTCAGGGTCTCTCCTACATGCTGACATTTGGGGGGGTGGGTGCTTTTGAGCTGAGATCTGGGAGATCCCCCAGGTCCAGGGGGCTAAGAGGTGTACCCACATCTCCCCACCCTCCTCCACCCCCTGTGGTCATGTCCCACAGGCCTGACT